ATGTGCTGTCAAGTCGGACCCGACTCATAGCGACCCCTCCTTGGGTTTCCAAGGCAGTATCACTACAGAAGTAGATTGCCCCATCTTCCTTCCGAGGAGTAGCTGGTGAGTTTGAACTGCCAGCCTTCTGGTTAGCAGTCTAGTGCTTTAGCCACTATGCTACCAGAGCTCTCATGTATGTATGTATATATATATATGTATATGTATATGTATATGTATATATACATAAATTTTTAGAGCAGGAGTTCCTGGGTGGCGTAGAGTTAAACACTGAACTGTTAACCAAAGGTTGGCAGTTTGAATCCTCCCAGAGGTAGAAGAAAGATCTGGTGATCTGTTTCTGAAAGGTCACAGCCTTCAAAACCCTATGTCTACTTTGCACACATGGGGTCACTATGAGTCAGATTTGACAGCAGCTAGTATTTTTTAGAGCAGTTTTAGATAACAGAGATTCCCATATATCCCCCTCTTGTGCTAGCACATAGTGGCCCCTATTATTGACATCTTGTATGAGTGTGGTACATTTGTTATAATCAATGAGCCAATGTTGTTGTTGTTATGTGCCGTCGAGTCAGCCCTGACTCATAGCGACCCCTCCTTGGGTTTCCGAGGCAGTATCACTACGGAAGTAGGATTGCCCAACCTTCCTTCCGAGGAGTGGCTGGTGGGTTTGAACCGCCAGCCTTCTGGTTAGCAGTCAAGTACCTTAGCCACTATGGTCGATGAGCCAATATTGATATGTTATTATTAACTAACGTTCATAGTTTATATTAGAGTCCACTCTGTTGTTCAGTCCTGTCAACTTTGAAAAATGCATAATGTCATATGTCCATCGTGGCAGTATCATATCCTATGCTCTACCTGTTCTTCCAGTGGTTTTAAACAAGTGATACTGGTTCAGGATACCCCAGTGTCCCAGGAAGGGTCATTTCCCAAGAGCTGTGCCCAACACACAGAGCTCTGGAGGTACAATGGGTAAGGCATTTGGCTGCTAACCAAAAAGTCAGTAGTTTGAACCCACCAGCTGCTCCACAGAAGAAAGATGACGCAGTCTGCTTCTGTAAAGATTTACAGCCTTGGAAACCCAATGGGGGTCACTATGAGTCAGAATCGACTGAGTGGAATGAATTTGGTTTGGTGTCCAACACTGTAGTCCTGACACAACCCCCGGAAGGGTCTCTTCCTGAGGCCGTGCTCACTGCATGGTCCTGACTGCTATCCCTCACCTCTGCAGGGCGTAAAGGAGTTCAAGTGTGAGGTGTGTGGCCGAGAGTTCACCCTGCAGGCGAACATGAAGCGGCACATGCTGATCCATACCAGCGTTCGGCCCTACCAGTGCCACATCTGCTTCAAGACCTTCGTGCAAAAGCAGACCCTCAAGACCCACATGATTGTACACTCACCCGTCAAGCCATTCAAATGCAAGGTACCAAGTGGTTAGGCCCTGGGGCTGGGGACCTCCCTATGAGCAGCCTGGAGTCAGCATGATGGCACTAGACATGGCCTACCTCAAGTTGGCCTGGCCAGTGGTAGCAAGGCAGGCCCTGGTTGGGTAAAACTTTGACAGGACCTTGGGAGTTGAGGTGGACAAGGTTGGGGTTTAGGTCCTAGAAGCTGTTGAAGTTGTGCTTCTTGCAAGCTGGGGAGGGGGTGAGGTCATGGTACAGCTACAGTGAAAGTACCAGACCTCAGGCTCAGTGCTGTCAGAGTCTGAGCCCCAGGTTTTTGATAACTGCAGCTCAAGGAAGGCAGGGCAGGCACACAGGAACAGTATCAAAGAATGGCTTGTTTCTTTGCCTCTCGGGCTTCTAGGGTTGCATAGGAAAGGACAAAGCTAGTGTTCTCCATAATGAATAAGATTCTAGCCTAGCCTTGGAGGTGAAGTGGGCTGGGGGGTTGGGGGGTTGGGGAGCTACAGAGGGTGGGCACCCAGTGGGCTGATGACACCTGGTCTGTGTTCCAGGTATGTGGAAAGTCCTTCAACCGCATGTACAACCTACTGGGCCACATGCACCTGCACGCGGGCAGCAAGCCCTTCAAGTGTCCCTACTGCTCTAGCAAGTTTAACCTCAAGGGCAACCTGAGCCGGCACATGAAGGTCAAACATGGCGTCATGGACATCGGCCTGGACAGCCAAGGTGGGTGGGCCACATGTGGTGGACGGGGCAGGAGCGGTCCTCTCATGGCGCACTCAGGAGCCTCCTGTCCAGCTGGGGAAGTGGGGAGGCTTGCCAAGGCTGAGGCACAGATCTGGAGAGGGGGAACCCTGGAGAGCCATCATGCTGATAATGATGGGATATTTATGTATTCTTCAAAAGACTTAAGTGGGCTTACATAAACAATAATAAAAATAATAACTAACATTTATTGAGTGCTAACTGTGTACCAGGCCTTTATTAACTCATGTGATCCTTGTAATAAGGTTGGTTCTGTTAATCCCCATTTTGCAGAAACTAAAGGACAGAGACCTTAGGTAACTCATGCAAGAGCACAACACTCAGCAAGCAGTAGACACTTCATCTTATTCGTATTACCACAAGATAGCATTTAAAATAAGAAGATGGGAAAGAAAGTTAACAAAAGGGAAAATGGTATCTGAAAAGTGAGGGAGAGTCAGGTAAAGTCGTAACTCCAAGTTCACTGTGGGTGGTCCTGAGGACATACAGAAATGAGTTCTGAGCTTCCCATCAGCCAAGGCAAAGAGTGTAACACTATCTACCAGTCACATTGTTCACGGTGCCTGTCAAGGAGAATGTAACTCCCATACTCAGGAGAGAGTCAAGTAGTCCCACCATTAAGTTTGGGATAAATTTCCAGAGAGGACCCTGCACACCTCAGTAGCTGCTAGGTAAAGCCATAGGGCTGTTTAGTGTCAAATTACCCAATAAGCAAGGTAAGCTTGGACTTACCTGTGCTTGCTTAGTTATCTGTAGTGAACAATTTCACATCTTTTCACCATATCAAAGATTCTGCTGCTTAGTATAGCTGGCATCTGTCTCCCTCCCAACCCCACAGAACCTTCCTATACAATCAAAGCCTCTTTTCAAATATACAATCACTGACAAGAATGTAGTACCCAGTAAGCACAAGTAAGCCCATGCTTACCATTGAGTAATCTGCCTCTGAGGCGATTTGTTATAACATCCCTAAGTATTAGGGATAGCCTGTCCCCTAAGTACTTGTCAGTTGTGAAAGCACCTCTGTCAGGCTCCAGCAGAGCTAACTGCTAGTCTCTTTGGCTTCATAGCAGGAGACTGTGCTTTAGAGAATCTGTTGGAGGGGGTGCTGGCTGTGCTTCAGGAAAACTCCATGTATAATCTGAAGCCATTTGACTTTTTGACTTCTGTGTGCCCCTTCTGAGACAGACTAGCTAGGAACATGCCCTATAATCAAATAAGTTAACTTGACATATGGGACTATTCACTGGAAGCCAATCAGTTGTAGGAGGGCATCTTTAGTAACCCTGACTTTGGTTATGCTAAGCTAAGGAGCTCTGGTGGTATATAGTACCTAAGGCATTTGACTGCTAACCAAAAGGTTGGCAGTTCAAACCTACCAGCTGCTCTGCAGAAGGAAGATGGGGCAATCTCCTTCCATAAAGATTTACTGCCTCGGAAACCCAATGGGAGTCACTATTGGAATCAACTTGATAGCACTGAGTTTGGTTTTTTAGTTTAACTAGTGAATGGCCTGGGTTTTCTGGCAGAAATAGGTATCCTCAGTTGTCTTGTCTCCCCCCCCCCACACACACACACACCCCAGTTGTCTATTAAAGATGATCCTGGTCTGTGAGGCTAAATATCTGTCAGCTGCATATATATGCTCTCTGTAGCTTCTTGCTACTCAAAATGTTGTAAGAGAACCGTCAACATTGGCATCACCTGGGATCTTGCTAGGAATGCAGAATCTCAGCCCCACTCCAGACCTACTGAATCAGACCCTGCATTCATTCCAAAAAAGAGCCCTCAGAAAATTCACACACAGTAAAGTTTGGGAAGCACTAGTTCTCCAACTTTAGCATACACCAGAATGACCTGGGGGATTGTTAAAACAGACTGCTGGGCCCGGACCTTAGAGTTTCTGATATAGTAGGTCCAGAGTGGGACTGAGAATTTGCATTTCTGACAAGTTTCCAGGTGATGCTGATGCTGCTGGCTCAGCAACCCCACTTTGAGAACCATTGATCTAGACTCGACAAGACTGGCTTTCAGACTTGGCTGCATGTTAGAATCTCCTGGATGTTTTGAAAATGTTGATGTTTGAGTCCCACTCCCAGAGATTCTAATGTCATTGATCTAGGGTATGGCCTAGGATCAGGATTTTTTTTTTTTTTTTTAAGCTCCTTTTAAAAAAAGTAATAATAGTTGCCATTAAGTCAATTCCAACTCATGGCGGCCCCGTGGGTCAGAGTAAAACTGTGCTCCGTGGGGTTTTCAGTGGCAGATTTTTCAGAAGCAGATTGCCAGGGCTTTCTTCCAAGATACTTCTGGGTGGACTCAAACTACCAGCCTTTAGGTTGGGGGCCAAACACTTAACCATTGGCACTACCCAGGGACTCCTTAAGTTCCCTAGTTGATTCTAATGCAGAGCAAAATCTGAGAGCCATTACTCCAGTGGACCTGCCAAGGATCTAACCCACCAGACGGGACAGGAGCAGAACTTGTCCTTTTAGAAATAACTGGAGCCATCAAAAGACTATTTCCACATACTGGGCCGAGGAGGGGTTAAGGTACAAAAATTCCTCACATACGAGGTCTGTAACCTCCCGAATCCTCATTAACCTGTGCTGGGTTTTTGTCTATTCTCGGAGAGAGGGGTCCAAGAATACCACTGGGCCAAACTGGTTTAAAGCACCAATCCTGGCAGGAAGGCAGAGGCGAAACCTCTTCCTCAAGTGATTTGAGGCAGAGTAGCCCAGTCGATCAGTATGATTGTTTTCTCCTGACAGTACCAGATGATGGGGAGTAAGACCGACCAGCACTGGAATGGCTCTGGCTGTCTGCCTCTCACATTTAGCCTGGGTCTGAGAAGCTTAGGCTTGACATTTGTCCAGGAGGAAGACAGTATACATTCTAGATAGAACCACCTTGTCTGTAATTTGGGAAGATGGGTCAGTGTCCTTGTAAACAATGGTACAAACTATTCCTGGGGTCAACTGGATGAGACCAATAGAGTTAATAAAGATAAATATATTGGAGGGAGGCTAGACCAGAAAAGGATATTTCCCCTGGGTGCTTTATTTAAATTATGTTATAATTAGTTGTATAATATGAGAGTGTGACACTAGGATTTGAAGAAGAAGCCCGGGGTCTGTAGGATTTGAGTCAGTTGGCAATGCTTTATAAAGCCAGAAAGACTCAAGAATGTGTCAGGAGGCTTTGGGCACAAGTATCAGATACACTATTCAGACAGGCTTTGAACAATAAAGAAATGAATTAAGAAATGACATCTAGGCCATCTTCACAGTTGGCTAATTCAGCCCCTCAGTGATGGCATCAGAGCTAAACAGCTGTGGTTTTCCTCATGGTCACGAGATGGCTGCCAGTGGCATCAGTGCTGTGTGCTTCTTTGTTCACATCAAGTGGGGGAGAGAAAGCCCACTCTCCTTTGCTCTCTCAAACCAGGCATTTCCTCATGAGTCATTGGTCAGAATTGGGTCACATCCCTATTCTTAATCTACTCATTGGCAAGAGGTAGAATTGGTTCCCCTTACTAGACCAGCGGTCCTCAGTGGGGGTGATTTTGCCACCCCACCCCACTCCTGCCCCAGGGGACAATTAGCCATATCTAGTGAGGTTTTTTGTTTGTCACAACTGGGGGTGGAGTTGCTGTCTAGTGGGTAGAGGCCAGGGATACTGCTAGACATGCTACAATACACAGGACAGTTCTCAAAACAGAGAATTATCCAGACCAAAATGTCAGCAGTGCTGAGGTTTTAAAATTCTGCCTTAGACATACCAGGGACAACCCCTGGGCTGGGGTCTGCTCACCTGAAAACACATCTCAGTGGATAGCAGCAGAACACACATTGGTCCTGGCTCCCAGGATGCCCAGGTCATGCTCTGGGTCTTCCTCACTCCTTAACTCATTGGAAGACAGCCACAGCCACAGGCCTTTTCTGTGGAGTTACTCTGTCTGGCTTTCGTTAAAACGGGGCCGGGAGGTGGGGGGGCTGCGGCGGAAACCACTGTCATCCAGTCAATTCTGACTCGTCGCAACCCTATGTGTTACAAAGCAGAACAGCTCCATAGGGTTTTCTTGGCTGTAATCTTTACAGAAGCAGGTCTCTAGGCCTTTCTTCCACTGTACTGCTGGGTGGATTCAAACTGCCACTTTAGGTTAATAGTTAAGCACAAACTATGTGAGCCACCCAGCAGCAGTATGATTTATAGTAAGATTTCAGTCTGATAAAGAGGACTTTCAGAGTTTTATCTTCATATACCTTTGTTAACCTACCTTGGGTTTTGTTTATTCTCAGAGAGCAAGGCCCCAAGGATACCACTGGGTGAAACTGGTTTAAAGTACCAATCCTGGCAGGAAGTCAGAGGAGAAACCTGTTCCTCAAGTGATTTGAGACAGAATAGCACAGTGGTTAAAAAAAAAAAAAAAAAAAAACAGCAGCTCTGGAACCCACAGACCCAAGTCCACATATACTGGCTGGGTGGTCTTTAGCAAGCTGATTAACCTCTCTGAACCTCAGCCTTTTGATCTGTTCATGGGGTTGCGGTGAGGATTAGATGAGATGATACATGTAGTGCCAGGCATGCAATAGGTACTAAAGGAGTGGAGGCAGCAGGCTTCTAGGCAAGGGTGCCTGATGGGTAACTGCAGAGAATGAATAACTAGGGCTTAGCGACTTAGGGGTAAATCCCTCTGTAGCACAAATGGCTAAGTGCTCAACTACTAGCCAAAAAATGGTAGTTGGAACCCACCTAGAGATGTCTCAGAAGACAGGCCTGGTGATCTGCTTCAGAAAGGTCACAGCCTTGAAACACCTGTGGAGTGTGACTTGAGGGACCATGGTGGTTCTGTGATAGAATCTCACCTTCCATGCTGGAGACGTGGGTTCAATTCCCGGCAAATGCACCTCATACACAGCCATCATTCATCTGTTGTTGGAGGCTTGCGTGTTGGTATGATGCTCACCAGTTTTCAGCAGCCCTTCCAGACTAAGATAGACTCAGAAAAAAGGCTTGGTGATCTGCTTTCAACCATCAGCCAGTGGATCACAATGGTCCCATCCACAGCTGACCATGAGGATGGTGTAGGGCTGGGTAGTGTTTTGTTCCACGTGCGTGGTGTTGCCATGAGTCGAGGACTGCTAACAGCAGCTAGCAAGTGACTTAGGAGGGGCAAAGGCATAAACTAAGGAGAACTTTTAAGGCTAGGCCTGCTGGGCTCCAACGTGAGGGTCTCCCACACACATATACATAGTTTTAGGGTCGCATCCAGTGACCCATCTAAGATGGGGCTTCCCAGCTTGGGAACCTTGAAAAGCTGCTGAGAATCTTCTGGAACCCATGCCTTGGAAGTCTTGCCTTCAGAAAGATCACCAGCTTCCTAAATAGGGGTGACCGGCTGGCTACCCCAACAAGGAGGCATCCAGGCTTAATTGTACCCCCTCTCTTCACAGACCCCATGATGGAGTTGACAGGCACTGACCCCTCCGAGCTTGACAGCCAGCAGGAGATGGAAGACTTCGAAGAGAACACATACCCCTACGCGGGCGTGGATAGCAGCACCGAGTCCAGTGTCCTCACTGAGCAGGCCATGAAAGAGATGGCCTACTACAACGTACTATAGCGTGAGCCCGGCCGCCCTCTTGGGGGCGTGGGTGTGAGGGAGAGACCCGAGTGCTGCAGGACATAACCTCCTGCAGCTGAGAAACAAGCTACTGCCCCACTGTCCTGCGCCCTCCCCTCCCACTAAGTCATTTGCACCACTAGGGACTTTGAGACCAAATGGAGACTATACTACTGGCCTCAGCTGTGAACCAGGCACAAGACCCAGGCATTCCAGTGAAGGAAGAATTGATAGCACAGGAGGCCTGGGGCTGGGTCTCCTCGACCTGTTGCTGGGATTGGGGGTGAGGGGGGAGGAGATGCTGATGCGGCCACGTTGGGATGGGTCACAAGGACACAGCCTCTTGGGGTCTCCCCTCTCAGGCCCAGCAGCCAGTGATGATTCTTTAGCAATCCTGGGCCCCCTGACACTGGAGGAAGAGATCACTTGAGCCATGCCTTGTTTCTCTTCTTGGCCAATTCCTGCTTCTAGGGATGTTTGACCTCTTGTGCTGGCCAGCACTGACCCCCACATCCCCTCCTCAGCCCCTGTGCTGTGAAAGGCCCAGGCCTGAGAGCCCCCCTCCGCACCCTGCCTATGACAACCAGGCAGGGCTCTCTGCCTTCTACCTCTGGGTGCCCCCCGCCCCCCACCATCTCATGCTTTCCTCGAGCCAGGTGTGCATGCAGCCCAGACCTGCACACCTGGCCTACAGGAAGGTGGGGGTATAGCCCAGCCCCCAGATGCCACCTTCTCCAGCCAGCCCCCCAGAAGCACGTGTCCTGCAGCCATGTTTGGAAGTGCTTTTCCAAACAGTGTCCCTAAAGTAGATTTCAGCAAATGTCATCTGGGTCTCTGTGCTGACCTTCGGCACTACATTGGGGCCACCAATGTGAATAAAGCTGACAAACACAGGTGGAGGCCCCTGAAGTGAGAGGGCAAGGCAAGAGAGAGGCTGTCTTGGGGTGGGGATGGAATCAACCTATGGGGGAGGGGGGCTAAAGTATTTTCTTATTAACAAGTATCCATTTTGACAATGGAGATAGCAAAGAGTCAACAGGCTCCTAGGGAAGAACATATTTAAAAAGGAAAATGAAGACCATATCAAAAATGAGCAAATGGGGGTATTTTGAAGTTAATTTATTTTTTTTCTCTCCAACTCTGTGTTGCCTATTATCTTTTTTGATGGAGATGCATTTTCTTTTCCCAAACATAAGCTTTCTTGTGTGCTGTGCTTGCTTTGTGCCTCCCCCACCTAAGCAGCCTGGTAGGACTCGGGCTCTGTGGGGACTGTGCCCTGGCCCTAGAGGTGCAGCTGCTGACAGGAAGCCTCAGGAGGCGGGGTGAGAGGCAGGAGAAGGCAGTGAGCTGGGCAGGCCCTCCACTCCCTGCCCAGCCTCTCAGCTGGTGACCCTGGCCCCAGCACTGTCCTTGGCCACGACCTGGCTGCTCGATTCTGCTCAGCCAGCAGTTCAAACCCTCACTCCCTCAATCTCATCCCCTCTGTCCCCCAACTCTAGCTCCTGCCCTCAGAGCCAAAAACTGCAGGCCCAGGGCAGGGAAATAGCACATTCAGGAACTCTAGGGCACCAGGACTCCCACCCACATGCCTTCTGAGGCTTCTGTGGGGAGGGGCAGGCAGACTCTTCCCCAAAGGCAGAGGACAGGAAGCCACCAGGCTCAGCCCAGAAACCAGGAGACGGGAGACAGCCGGGGAAATCCATTTGAAATGCAGCTACCCCCAGTCTGTATCCTTAAGTGAAGGAGCAAGCCAGGCTTCAGGTGGCTTTGGTTGAAACTGAAGGATGGCCTCAGGATCAGGCAGCCAGGTGCTCCTTCCTTCTCTGCTAGAGCTCAGCTAAGAAGCAAGTGAAAGGGCTAGGGGCTTGTGGGAGCTTATCCCTAAGGTGTGGCTCCCCAGACCCCAAGGCCACAAAGCCTCCCAGGTGCCCACATGATGATCCTCAGGTGGCAGTGACCCTCGTCACTGTAGAAGACATTTTTTTCCTGCTGAGCAGAAGGCATCATCCCCTGCAAACTACCTCTTCCCATGTCTTTATCCCCTGGTACCAAAAAGAACCCTGTACCTCCTCCTTCTCTTTCCTGCCAGCACAGTGGCCTTGGTCTTGGAAACTAAAGGGAGAAGGTCTGGCCTCCAGGGTGGGGGCTCTGCTTTCCTTCCCCCAGCCCCTCCATCAGCCCTGGCCCTCTGCAGGTTCTATACTTGAACGCCCCCCTGCCCTGTGCCTTGGACCTGGGCAAAGCTAAGAGAAGGAAACAGCACAACTCACAATTTGAGGTGGGGGGTGGTCTTGGCAAGGCTCCCGTCCTCACCCCTCCCCAACTTTTTCCAAAGAGGCATGCGGCCTCTCGGGTGACTTGGGAAACTCCTGGACGAATTCCACTCTAACTTATTTTGACATGTATACCAACCAACTGTTTAGAAATTCCACTTGTGCAAAGCCCTACTGTGTTTTTATGTTCCTGTTTAAAAGAGAAGTTTACTTAGCAATAATTATAAATAAATGAATATTCTTTAGCAAGGTGACTGCCAGTGCTTCTTTCTGCAGACTTTGGGGACCTGGCCCTCATCCCTCCCAGAAGGAACTCCCAGCCCCACACAGTGAGGCATCACTCTCAAGGGGCGAGAGAGGACCCAGGCCTTCCTCTGCTCTAGAATGGCCACCTGCAGGGCCAGGGCCTACCCCTCACCCTGCAAGCCTGAGAGAGAGAGAAAGGGAGGCACATGGGCTGAGGCCCTTGAATTCCCACCACTCAGAGAAAAGCCACTTCCCTCCCTCCCCATCCACACACACTGGGACAGAAGCCAGCCTACAATGCCAGACTGGATTTCAGAGGCTAAATTCTGGGGTGCTGCCAGCCCTTTGCTGCTGATGGGCTGAAGGAGTGGGAAGCCGTGAGCTCCCTCCCAGAAGTGGGACCGACCAGAACCAGCCCACCAGCTTTTCTTCCTCAAACACTAGGAATTTAATGAGATTAATCACCAACAGAAGGGGGCTGCCAGTGTGTGGGGGGTGGCTACCGCACATCCTAAAGCTACTCAGAAGTCTACAGCAATGGTTCCAGAGCAAGAGCCCCTCCCATACTGACAGGACCAGACCCTGTCCTCCTAGTCTTCAGCAATGGAGTCTAGAGCAACGGTTCCCAAGTCTTGGGTTTCATAAACAGTGGAAGGATACCTCCCCAAATTTGGAAAATGAACTTTGGGTTGTCAAATATTTGTTTCTATCAGGTAAACATACACAATTCTTCCCCAGGACATTTCAACACTAAAAAGTAGAAATATAATCCCTACGTGAAGGACAGGGAGGAAGTGAATGGAGCAGTTTGGAACAACTAAGGGAGACAAACTTGTCTGTCAGTTTATCGTACTATGGTGGCTTGCATGTTACTGTGAGTCTAGAGGCTATGCCACCAGTGTTTCAAATCCAGCAGGGTTACCCATAGTATACAGGTTTCAGCAGAGCTTCCAGACTAAAACAAACTTGGAAGAAGGAAGAGGCCACCTACTTCTTAAAGAATTGGCCAGTAAAAACCTTATGAATAGCAGTGAAACACTTGTCTTATCTGGCACAGGACCAGGCAGTGTTTCATTCTGTTGTACATAGGATCACTATGAGTCAGAGATGACTCGACGGCACCTAACAACAACAACACGAAGGACAGTCCTTTAAATGGAATATGTATTTGGGTTTATAGCAACTTTATAAGACGCTCTGGTGGCATAGTGCATAAGGCATTTGACTGCTAACCAGAAGGCTGGCGGTTCAAACCCACTAGCCACTCCTCGGAAGGAAGGTTGGGCAATCGACTTCCATAGGGATACCGCCTTGGAAACCCAAGGAGGGGTTGCTATGAGTTGGATCCAACTCGATGGCAGTGAGTTTGGTTTTTTTAGAGCATCTTTACAATCTTATTTTTCTAGTTTTGCCTCAGGATAGTGAAAGTGAACCCAAGTTTGGGAACCATAGGCCTAAACTACAGGAGGACACCTGTCCACACTTGCACGCACACCACACCCCAGGCAGCTGTAGCGATGGGAACTGCAAGGCCAGTACTGGGTAGGAACAGTTTTAAGTACAAAGAAAAGGGTAAATAAAGGGGTCAAGAGATGTTCAGGTTATAACAGAGAAAAAAATAAATAACCAGAACCTATCAGGAAGTGGTACAGTCTGAAAAATGGGGAAGCTGTAAGAACTGGATTGTGCTAGGAAACCAGGGAACCCACAGGCCTGCACTTCAAGATTCCTAGCAGCTATTCAGGCCACTTCCTGTACAACACAGTAGGGTATCATTGCTGTCCAGTTCTCTCTCCCCTGCGGTGGCCCCCTTAGCTGGACAGCGTGGGGTGGGGGGCCTGGGATCAGGCTGCTATAGCCTGAGGCATGCTAGCCTGTCCCTTGTGGAATCTGCCAGCTCTAACAGGGCCTTTGCCTCTGGGCCCCAGCTGCCTCCTTCCCCTCAGGGACACACACAGCAGACAGTTTGTGAAGAGGTTTTTAGTAGCTAAATATGGCACCATGTGTTCCAAGGGCAATATAAATTACAGTATGCAAAACATACTGACTGGCTGAGGTAAAACACTCTGTTCCTGCCTCACTTTACCATGAGGGGAAACACAGATAGGCTTTTTAAAATATCTCACTTATAAAAAATGTCCCCTAGAACAGCCTTGTGGGCAGGCTCCCCAGAGAGGAGCTATGAGGCTCACCCTCCACTGTGTTGGGAGGACCTGTGGCTGCTGCCTGCTTGGTTCCATCCTGTCCACCACAGCAGCTGGGGCAGTGCTTCCTCCTACTGCTTGCCCAGAGCTTTGTCCAGGTTGCTCTTGATGGTGTCCAGGAAATCTGTGGTGTTCAGGAAGTGCTCATTCAGCTTCACACTGCAGAGAGAACAGTATATATCATCATATATCAGTATATGATCATCTGGGCCCTTCCAGAGCCGAACCTGAGCTTGGACATCTGAACAGTAGCCTCTTGGCCCCAGGGGGAGGGGCACGCCCTGCTATAGGTCAAAGGCACCTATAGTCCATTGCCAACAGGCCACAGCATACTCAACAGGAACATGGTAGCTAAAATCCAGTTGTGGTCAAGTCGACTCCGACTCATGGCGACCCCTGTGTGTGAGAGTAGAACTGTGCTCCATAGGGATTTCAATGGCTGATTTTTCAGAAATCGATCACCAAGCCTTTCTTCCCAGGTGCCTCTGGGTGGATTCAAGCTTCCACCCTTTCATTTAGCAGCCAAATGTGTTAACCATTTATACCATCTAGAGACTTTCTTTTCTTTTCCAGGTGACTGAACAATGGTATAAACTCACCTGGGAGAAGCTGAGGGTGGAGGGGTAAGAGATAGAAAAGGCTGGATCAGCCAGTGTCAGGGATGGAGCCAAACTCATGGGCCCTGGTCTGGGGAAGAGGCATGACCCTAGCCTTCATCAGGGCTGAACACCTTGTTGAGGCGCAGGCCCCTGGCACTAAGAAGACTCAGTCAGGAAGCCTCAAGAGGGGCCCTCTGGCCTCTTCCTGCCCTGCCTGAGGTCGTTCCTGGAAGACCAGCCCTGCCCTCAGCCCAGGGTCACGCACTTGCTGAGGCCATGGATACAGCCTGCCAGGTCCTTGGTCATGGCTCCACTCTCCACAGTCTCAACGCACACCTTCTCCAGGGTCTGGGCAAACCTGCAGGTGACAAAGCAGAGTGAGGCCACCACTGAGCAGAGCCAGGGCCCATAACAGCCCTGGGCCTGCTCAGCCCCTCACCCTGAACTCACCTGATGAGGTCCTGGTTTCCATCCAACTTCCCCCGGTGCTCCAGACCACGTGTCCAGGCAAAGATGCTGGCAATGGGGTTGGTACTGGTAGGCCGGCCCTGGGAGCAGGGATTGCAGGGGATCAAGAGTCCCTCCCATACTGACAGGACCAGACCCTGTCCTCCTAGTCCTCAGACCAATGAACTTTGGGCCCCTGGGGTGGGTGAGCACTGTATAGCTGTGCTTCTCCACTCACCTTCTGGTGCTCCCGGTAGTGGCGGGTGACCGTCCCATGAGCAGCCTCTGCCTCAATGGTCTTTCCATCTGGGCAGACCAGCACGGAGGTCATCAGGCCAAGGGAGCCGAAGCCTGCAGGGCAGAAAGACCTCCCTCAGTGCTAGCTTCAGACCACCAGAGCGGAGCCTTACCTTACCAGGTGCTATAGCTGCCTCTTACCCCAACCCCACACACTGTAACTAGAAGGACAGGGACAGTTTTTAAGCTTGTTGTGGATCCTCAGAGCCCAGTGCAGGGCACTTGAGGGTGGCTATATCAGCAAATTGATACACATCTGTGTCCTCACCTGCAGGCACCCCAGAGCCTGTATGTTCCAGGGCCTGACACCCCTTTTACCTCTGAGTTCTTCAACCTTCCAAGTCTGCCCACCCAGCCCAGCCTATGACCAGGAGAAGCAGAAAGAATAAGGCCACCATCAGGTAGTTCACAGTGATCACTCTATGTGATGCTCTTTTGACCACTTTAAAAGTAACGGCTTGATGATTTATTTCCAAATTTTCCCAGATTCAGGTGTCACTTTTTTCCCCTTAAATAAAACGAAGTGGGGACAGGAGCGTGTAGCTCAGTGAGCTTTTCTGTTGTTAAGAACTCATGGGCTTCAAAACACCCCATGGCACCAAAACAAGAACATGAAGTCCCCAATAAGAAAAAGTGGATAACATCTATAGAAAAATTATTTGTCTAAGAATTTGTGCTTATAGCAGTCGTCAAAACAGTCTGGTACTGGTACAAGGACAGACACAAAGACCAGTGAAACAGAATTGAGAATTCAGACATAAATCCATCCCCTTAATCTTTGACAAAGGGCCAAGGTCCATTAAATGGGGAAGAGACAATCTCTTTAACAAATGGTGCTGACAAAATTGGATGTCTGTAGAAAAATGAAACAGGACCCACACCTTCTATCATTCACAAAAACTAACTGAAAATGGATCAAAGACCTAAATATAAAACCTAAAATTATTATAAAGATCAGGAAAGAAAAGATAGGGACAATACTAGGGGCCCTGACATATGGCATAAATAGAATACCAAACTTAACTAAAAAAGCACAAACAGCAGAAGATAACAAGACAAATCGTACCTCTTAAAAATTAAATACTTATGCTCATCAAAAGACTTAGCAAAAAGAGAACCTACATACTCACTGGGGGAAAAAATTTTGGCTATGACATATCTGACAAGATTCTAATCTCTGAAATATATAGAAAACTTCAACACCTCAACAACAAAAAGACCAGGACCCACACCTTCTATCATTCACAAAAACTAACCCAATTAAAAAAAAAAAAAAATTAATTCCCTAGATGGGAATTGTTCTGGTGAAAGGATCACCATTGAACTTTTGAAAATGAAGCCAAAGGCTCTTTATAAAGCATCGAGACCTTTTCAACTCAACCTGTCATTGACTTCACTGCTCTCAGAGGCAGCTGTGCCTAACCCCACCTCTCTTTAGACCTTCCACAGTGCCTTTCTCCTAGCATTCTTCCCGCTCTTGTTCCCAACCCAACTGAGCTATCTCTTGGTGTTCTTCATGTGTTCCTTTACCTATGCCTTCTGCTGTAATCCATTTGATCTTTCAGGACACTCTAGGGTTTAGGGGTTTGTCTGCTTCCCCAATATTCTCCTACACCCATAATGTTTACTGCACAAAAAGAAATTCTCTGTAAGTTAAAGAGCACCCAGTCCACTACAGCTCATCTTCCTACTGAGTCCTTCCCATGGCCGTGGGTCCAAATCTAGAGCCAAAACCACAATTCTCACTCCCTTCATGGCCAAGAATAACCTAGCCCTTTTGAATTCCTATGTTTCTCTGTAATGGTAGCCTTAGTGATATACCAGTTTGAACCTAGTCTGTGGCCCTAGTCTGTGGCCCTCCCTCACTCCTGACAAGTAACTGCTGTCCAAGGAACCCTGCAATCAGCAGGCAAGCCCCAGTCCTGCTAATAACACTAGAGAGCTTTGCTAAAAGAATCTGAAAATCCCCCAGCCAGAGAAGACCAACAGTCCACCCCCAGAGGAAGCAGGGTCCTTCCAGCTTACCCTGGGCCAGGATGTCTGACTGCACGTCTCCATCGTAGTTCTTACAGGCCCACACAAAACCTCCCGCAGACTTGAGGACCTGAGCCACCATGTCGTCAATGAGTCGGTGCTCGTACCAGATCTTATTCTTGTCAAAGTCAGTCTTATAGTGCCTGGAAGCAAAAGGGCCTGTTGTGGGGCAAGACCAGGTTGGGGGATCCCTCCCCAAGTTTCAGAGCTGAGCTAAGCCAAATGGGATGGGGACTTTCCTCAGTAGGATGGGGGTGTGGACAGGCAAGAAGGGCTGTGGAATCCTTGGAAAGACAGCAAAGAGGGAGGTTGTTACTTGTCAAAGATCTCCTGGAAGATGTCCTTGAAACGCCCATCGTAGGCCTTCAGGATGGTGTTCTTGGTGCTCATGTACAGCGGCCACTTCTTTTGGATGGCATACTGGAAGCAGCTGTGTGCAAAGCCTGAGATGGACTGTAGGGAGAGAGTGTCCCTGGCATCATCCCTCACCTGGGGACTTCCAGCTCTCTCCCCAACCCAGGGCCAAGCCCAGGCCCCCAGGAATGGCATCCCACCCTCCACACAACCCTCTCAGGCAGTCTGCATTAACCTCAGCCACTATGACATGTGTATCTGTTACTGGACACTCCCCTAACTTTTGAGAGCAATCCCCCAACTTTGCTTTTGAAAGCTGCCTTCCCCTCCCCATTCTTAGACCATTATGATTGAAGTGAAGCTAAATTCCCCCAAATCCACCTGCCTATCACTGACATTAACAATATGACCCTGGCTTATTCAGTCAGAGCCCGTCCTTCCCCAGGCCTCAGTGATTGGCTTAAAGATGGTCATGTGATTTTTTTTTTTTTTTTTTTTTTGTGCTAGACCTATGACTGAAGAGAGAGCATTGGTTGTTCAGTACTAGAATTCTTCTTGCCTTCTATGTGAGAGACCCAGGTTCAATTCCAACCAATGCACCTCATGTGCAACCACCACCTGTCCACCAGTGGAGGCTTGCACGTTGCTATGATGCTACACAGGTTTCAGTAGAGCTTCCAGACTAACACAAACTAGAAAGAAAGACCTGTAGATCTACTTCCAAAAATCAGCCAATGAAAAGTTCAACAGGACAGAAAATAACCAATGCTGGTGAGGATGTGGAGAGATTGGAATTCTCATACACTGCTAGTGGGACTGTAAAATGATACTACCACTGTGGAAAGTAGTATGGCGATTCCTTAAAAAGATGGAATTAGAAATATCATTTGATCCAGCAATCCTGTGACTAAAGAAGTGAGAGCCAGAACAAGAACAGATACATGAACACCCATGTTCATAACAGCACTATTTACAATAGCAAAAAGATGGAAACACCTAAGTGCCCATCAACAAAAGAATGGATATGCAAACTATGGTACATACACACAATGAAATACTATGCAACATTGAAGAATAATGTAGAATCGGCAAAACGCCGCATAATGTGAATGAACTTGGAGGACATTATGCTGAGTGAAATAAGTCAATCACAGAACAACAAATACAGTATTAGCTCATTATTGTAAAAAGTCAAGAAAAGATTTATATATGGAAGGAAACTTTCTTTGTTGGTAAATAATATTCAGTCAATAAAAATATGAGTATTAAATATGATTAAAAGCAGGAGTGTTTCACCAAATGAAAAAGAATACTTTGATTTGAAAAAAAAAAAGTGGGTATGCAGCAGGAAACTATGTTAGGCAGTTAGTAGCACACACAAGAAACATCCAAGGCAGACAGAAATAATTGTTTCAAAAGTTAAATAAAATAAATAAGTATCTACTAAAAAAAAAAAATCAGCCAATGAAAATCCTATGAATCACAATGCTTCAGCCCACAACTGATCATGAATGGGGATGGCAAAGGATGAGGCAGCATTTCATTCTGTTGTGCAGAGGGTCACCATGAGTCGGAGGCTGACTCAACAGCATCTAACGACAACAATGTGAATGAAGAGTCACCCTTTTCTGATTGGCTAGCCAGGCTGGCAGAGGATAAGCCTGGAGCAACTAGTAACGATTACTGCCACTCTATGGACTGAGAATAAGGTCAACACAGAGGAAAGGAAAGCCAAAAGATGGAGGATGGGGAAGAGAAGAAATATATAAACAGTTCGCGTAAACCAAGAGTCCTGACAAACACACACACCAAGCCTTCTAAGGTGCATCTGAGAACAAGCAAGGAACTCAGGGCACACCTGGCTAAGCAAGAGTCTGACAGTCCAACACCACATGGGCTCTCTACCTGCCCCTCAGACACATCTAAGATACATCTGCTCACAGTCCTCAGAACTTCTTCAGTCAACTGAGGGAGGAAGAGATGAGACCTCCAACTTGGCCCTGCCCAGAGATGACAGACAGGCCAGGGGAGGTGGGAACGTGGGCCCCATGAGTTCAGAGCCTTACCTCATCAGTATTATACATGCCCATGCCTACACCACCAGCTGGAAAGTTGTACACCTCCCACTCCTTGCCATTGCTGCCATCCTTTGGGGTGAAGACTATCTTAAACGTGCCAGCACGGTCCACCACAAAGTCTGTGGCCTTGTACTGCAGAGACAAAAGGACAACTCAGGCCAGGGGCCCCAGACAAGGGTCCCAGGCTGGTGGACTCAGACTCCCTCAATAGCCTACCTGGTCACCATGGGCATGCCGACCAATGGTGATGGGCTTGGTCCAGCCAGGGACAAGGCGTGGGATGTTTTTGCAGATGATAGGCTCCCGGAAGACAGTCCCTCCAAGGATGTTCCGGATGGTTCCATTAGGACTCTTCCACATCTTCTTCAGCTTGAACTCTGCAGGGACAGAGACAAAGTGGGTCCACTGCAGCATACCCCCTTCCAGCTAGAACTTGAACCCCAGACAAGAGCATAGCTAGAAAGGCACCCTAAAAATCATCCAACAGAGACTGCAGTATAAGCATATAAGCTCTGGAGTCAGATTTCCTGGGTTCAAATCCCAGATCCATCACTTCTAACTGTGAGCCTTACACAAGTGGCTTAACCTCAATTGTAAAACGAAATTATTGATAAAATGCCTAGCTTAATGGTTGTTGTGAGGATTAAGTGAGATAATATGTGAAAGAGAATGGCCAGACTTTGTCTCACCTACTGTAGTCATGTTGTCAGAAGGGACCACTCCCTGAAGAAAATATATCATGCTTGGTAAAGTGGAGGGTCCATGAAAAAGGGGAAGGCCCTCAACAAGTGGATTGACACAGTGGCTGCAATGATGGGCTCAGGTATAGCAAGCGTCCTGGGGCTGGCACAAGACGGGGCAGTGTTTCGTTCTGTTGTACATAGGGTTGCTATGAGTCAGAGACAATTCAACGGTACCTAACAACAATAACAACAATTTGTGAAATGGAGTCCCTGGGCTGTTCATGCACTCAGCTCCTAGCCAAAAGGTTGTAAGTTTGAGTCTACCCAGAGACACCTCAGAAGAAAGGCCTGGTAATTTTCTTCTTCTTCTTCTTCTTTTTAAATTTTTATTGTAATTTGGGTGAAAGTTTACAGAGTAAATTCATTTTCCATACAGCAGTTCATACACATTTTGTTTCACGACATTGACTGCCATTCCCGACAATGTAACAGCTCTCTTCCCACTTTCTCCCCACAGTTACCTCTTCCCTGTGTCCTTCCCTTCCATGCACTCCCACCCCCTGAGACATCTCCCTGTACAAACACTGACCTTCTGTTCTCCCATGATTGGGAGTATACCTATCTGATGTAAACATTCACCCCAAATGCCTGTCTATTGTTTGGCTGGAAGCCACAGGGGTGAGCTCAGTTCCAGACCTGAAGGGCAACTAGGAGCTATAATCTCAGGGCTGGCAATTTACTTCTGAAAAATCAGCCACAGAGAACCTGGTGGAGCACAGTTCTTTGACACACATGGGGTCTCCATGACTGGGAATGAACTCAGTAGTAACTGGTAATGATAAGTAAAATACTTAGAACAGTGCCTACTACAGCATGAATGCTGTTAGCTGGTATTATTCCTGTCATCACATTTGGAGGCAGCTCAGTCTGAGGGAAAGTGCTCATATTGGAAACCCTGACAGCCTCACTCCAGATGCTCTGGGTGGAACAGGAAATATGGCAGCAGAAGACACAGAGCCTGTCACCAAGGTGCTCAGGGGTTCTAGTCCCAGTACCTCCACTAACCAGCTAGGTCCAGTCCAAGTTACCAAGACTGTGACCCTCTACCCCCTTGTCTGTAGGATGGGGATTTATTAATTCCAGGGTCATGGAGGAATAAAAGGAAACATGTGGAAAGAGGTCAGCACTAAAAGGAATCCAATACCCTAAGGTCGAGTATAACCTTGAAGGACAGGAGGAGATTTTGCCTTGAAGGCTCCCTTCTAGGTCCCTCATACAACTGCTTGTGGGCCAGGAAGCAGGGAGAGAGCTCTGAAAATGCATGTGAAACCATTTTTTCTTGAATTATCCATACCTGGCCCTGGTGACATGCTTTGTTCACACACTGGTACCATTTCATGGGTCCCTAAGAGGAGCCCCTAGAATAGAGGACTAGCAACCAGTCCAAACCTGGTGAGGCCACCTCTCTGAGACCTCTGCATAGCTGCAGGGGCAGGTTTGGGGACAAGTCTGCAATGCTAGGACAGGGCAGGAGGGCACTAGTGATGTTCCCAGGGGCTATGAGGCTCTGAAGGTTACAGGCCTAGAACACAGCACTCCTCTGCACAGAGATGGCCCCAAGTCTCTGTAAAACTGACTGGGTAGCCAAGAAGGTGGGAGGCCCAACAAAGCCCTTTTTTGCATCAGCATTATTCTCCTCCTCATCAGTTACTGATGACACCTACCAGTGGTCAAGAGCCATGACACAACGGAAACATTGCTGGCCTGGGAGCCAGGACTTGTAGATTCTGGTCTCAGCTTGGCTAAAGCCTAACCGTGGAAACTTAGGCCTCATCTATGTCTCTAGTCTCTGAGGTCACTCTAGAGTCCTTGGACGGTATAAATGGTTACACATTTGGCTGCTAAACAAAAGATTGATGGGTCAAGTCTACCCAGGGGTGCCTTGGAAGAAAGGCCTGGCAATCTACTTTCAAAAAAATCACAATTTCACCCAAATCACAATAAAATATATATATACATAATAAAAGAAATTTTAAAACATGGGGGGAGAAGATCCTCATTTGCTGTGTTAAATTTCACCTAAAATACAATAAAATTTTTCTTTAAAAAAGTTTAAGAGAGAAAATGTGAAATGTATCAATATCCCTAATTTTGTTTTATCCAAACTATCTTCATTGTAATACTCTCTTCATATTATAGTGAGGACTATCACCCCCCTTTTTCTTTTTGATTGCTGTAACAATGTCTTTTGTGCTCTTAAATATCCAGAATGTACTGAAATCATGTTTCTCCTGTGATTATACATTTAGCTTATTAAGGTTGTCAAAACCTTTAGTTAAATAAATTTTGTTGCCCAAATATCATCTTTAAAAAAAAAAAAAATCAGCCACTGAAAACCATACAGAACATAGTTCTACATACATGTGAGGTCACCATGAGTCAGAGTAGACTCGACAGCCAGCTAAGATCCAGCCACCAGTCTGGAGGATTCTCAGGGAGACTGGGGTCATGTCAGAGTCCCTACCCACTCCCACCTGAGTCCCAATGAAGCTTGGCTCACAAAAACACCTCTTACCCTAGCTCCAGCAGCTTCTAACCCTCTCCCAGTCCCAAGATGAAGCGACATGGCCAGATGCTGCTAACACAATTCTGGAGAAGTCAGTGGGTAAAGCCCATGACCTTCTCTAGCCCCACCCCAACTCCGCCCTTGCACCTTCCACACGGGCCTCATCAGGGGTGATGGTGGCACACTTGACAGCCACACTGTACTTCTGGGTGGCGAGCGCAGAGTCGATGGTGACCTGGTCATTGGTCTGGTCACGGTTTGGGAGCCCAAGATCGAAATACTTGAGTTGGACCTCCACGTGGGGCAGGATGAGCTAGGGACAGACAGACGACCAGGACAACAGATCAGCCATGTGACTGTGACTCAGGGGTAGGACATCAAAGAGCATGGGGAAAAGCCTATGGACCATGGCAGGGGGCACCCAGTCAAGGGCAGGGACCAGGGAGGGCAGCAGAGTGAACAGTGCAGCTGGGGTCAGCCATTCCTTGGTAGAGTCAGGCCAAAGCTGGTAAGGGGCTGTGGCTCTGGACAGAGGTCAGAAGACCAGGCCATTGCCCCTTAAGAAGGCTCTTCCTTAACATGGACTTTCCTCTCTCCCTGACCCCTCCATAACCTATCAACTCAATGGAACCCCAACTCCACATGCATCTACATTTCTCTACACAATGTGTTCCCTCTTCTCCCCCAAGGACTTTGATGCCTTGACAAGCAGAGGTGGTGGTTCCCCAGCCTTCCTCCCATGGTCATACACATGATGAAGAACCTGCATGTGGACAACATGCTCTCGTGGGCACTCCCAGTCCAACACAACTTTGAAGAAGCCAGGCAGCCATCCTGGGAACCACTGGCCATGGGATCACATAGGCTGTGTCATTGCCCTGCATACCAGCCTGCCCCCTTTCAGTCTCATTCAAGGAAGTACATGTGGGGAATCAAGAAGGATGTGATTACAGGATCAGCCCTGAATCTGCTCAGATTTTTTAAATGTGCAGGCTTTGACACTGTGACCAGTACAGGACACAACTGCCTTGAGTCAATAAAAACTACTAGTGGTCAGGACATAGAAGGGTGGGCAGAAGGAGAGAAACAGGTCTGCTGCTGCCTGCCAGGGTGATGTCTGAATCCTAGGACCCAGAAGACCTGTGCTGGGACAGAACACTGAGCATGGCCCACTCATCTGAAGAGCACCCACTTGAGGAGGGGGCAGTACCTTCTCTTTGATGAATTGCCAGATAATACGGGTCATCTCATCACCGTCCATCTCCACCACTGGCTTGGCCACCTTGATCCTCTTGTCGGCATCTAGAACCCAGCATACACAGTGTATCACACTCCTAGGGAGGCTGGTGGGGAAGCCCATCTCTTCCCACAGCCCTGGTCACAGCCACCCTTCACCAAGAAGGACAGCTAGGGATTCTGCTGCCCAGCATCCATGTCCCTTTGTCAGGAGCAACTCCTCAACTGCTTGGGAACCTGTGTCTGCCATTGAGTTTGATGAGCCAGGGCTAGCCAAGAAGATGCCTGCCCAGCCTGTGGTCAAGGAGGCAGGATCCAAATCTGGCAAGTCAAATGCTGTCCCCCTGGAATCTGGAGGCAGGGAACTAACCCAGAGAATGAGAATCAGCTGGGGTCCACTTGTCCAGCAGCAGGTTGGGGAAAATCTGCCCAGGAGTTCCTGTCACCCAGGGCAGCCCAAATGCCTATCTTGTCTAGGACTCAGTTTTCCCTGTAATTCTGTGAGCTATCTCAGGTTCTCCCAATAAGTTCTTCACAAAGTTAGCCAGTCACTAACTTTGTCTCTGGTAGCATAGTGGCTAAAGCACTTGACTGCTAACCAGAAGGCTGATGGTTCAAACCCACCAGCCACTCTCGATAGGAAGGTTGGGCAATCCTACTTCCGTAGTGATACTGCCTCGGAAACCCAAGGAGGGGTCGCTATGAGTCGGGGCCGACTCGATGGCACATAACAACAACAACAACAGCAACCTGAAGTGAGGAAGGAAATGGTATAAGCATCTACCAGAATCCCTGGGTGGCATAATGGTTACTAACTGAAAAGCTGGCAGTTTGAACCCACCCAGAGGTTTTAAGGAAGAAACCCCTGGCAACCTGCTTCCGAAAGGTCACAGCCATAAAAACTTATTTTCGACACAACCATGAAAACCCTATTTAGCACAGTCCTACTCTGAAACACATGGGGTTACCATGAGTCAGAATGGACCCAAAAGCAAATGTGTGTGTGTGTGTGTGTGCTTAAACATGTACAAGGAGCTCTGGTGGCATAGTGCCTAAGGCATTTATTTGACTGCTAACCAGAAGGCTAGCAGTTCAACCTCACCAGCCACTCCTTGGAAGGAAGATTGGGCAATCTATTCCTGTAGTGATACCACCTCGGAAACCCAAGGAGGGGTTGCTATGAGTCGGATGCAACTCCACAGTAGTGGTTGCATTTTTGCATTTTATGTGCCTAGTGGAGTTCTCAGATGGTGCAAATAGTTAAGCTCTTGGCTGGTAACTGAAAAGTTGGTGGTTTGAGTCTTCCTGGAAGCCCCTGGGAAAAAAAGTCCTGGTAATCTTTTTCCCAAAATTTAGCCATTAAAAAAAACGCTATAATATCCAACAAAATTCAAATTCAGAAAAAAAAAAAAAAGACCAGACTTACTGGTCTGAAAAAGCAGAACCTTTGAGACTACTGCCCTGATGCAACTTCTACTGGAAACTGAAGACACTCTCAGAGGCTGCCTTTCAGCTAAATAACAGTTGGAGCTATAAAATAAATAATAACACCATGAAGAATGTGCTCCTTAGAACAGTCAACTGCATGACACCAAAAGGGCAACATCTGCCCAAAACCAAAGATGAGAAGACAGGGAAGGACAGGGAAACCAGCTGAATGGAAACAGGGAATCCAGGGAGGAAGCAGGGAGAGTGCTGACACATTGCAGGGATTGAACAAGTTGTGTATTAATTATTGATTGCTATGTAAACATTCATCTAAAGCACAATAAAAGAAAAAACCTTACTGAGCACAGTTCTACTCTGACATACACAGGGTCCCCATGGGTCAGAGTCGGCTCCAAGACAACTGGGTATGTGCATGATACTGTACCACACCTTTCATACTATTTAATCCTCATGGGGGGAAACTCAGAGGTTACAGACTGTTCTGGTTACCTAGTGCCACTCTGACAAGAAATGACCACACATGGGATGGCCTTAACAAAGAGGAGTTTATTCTTACAATTTGGAGTCTTTAAGTCCAAGTTCAAAGTGCCAGGCTTTAGGCGCTGGGTGAAAGCCCCTCAACCTTGGGGTCCAACTCTGCCTCCTGCTCCTGGCCCACTGAGCTAGAGGCGTTTCTTCACTCAGACAGCTGCTGGCTGCTGAGGCTGAGAAGCCCCAAGGTTGATAAGTAAAAAGGCCCAGTCCCAATGTTACCAAACCACACACCAGGCCATTAACTTAAGTCCATTGTAAGTCCCAAGGTCGGCAGAGCATAGCAGGCTGCTGAGCAACGACACAGCTACATGCAGGGTCCAAGCATGCCATAGGCTAGAGACCATTCCCAAGGCTTCTCCTTATATACAGGAAGCAGACTACATCCCAAAGGCAGCTACTCAGCTGCTTGTGGTAGATCCCACCATGGAGTTGATTGCCAATCTCATCATGGGGAATAACTACCACCAGCTGCCCAGCCACTCAACCAGGCCCAGCCAAGTTGACACAAAAACATAACCACCACACAGACTTACTGTCCAAAGCTATACACCTTGAAAACCATAGAGCCAGGATGTTTCAGAACTCACTCAATGGTAAGACAGGCTTATGACACCTTCAAATTGAACTAAGAACCCCTGATCTAAGCCTGCTCAGGTCTGGCCAGTCCCTGCCCGCCCGAGAAGTGTCAAAGAGTCAATGAGTGGTTGATCAGGGGCCCAGGAAGATGGTGGAAGGGAAAACAGGAGCAGGGGAAGGGTCTTTGAGAAAAATCTGACTCCTAAGGAAAACCAACAGACTGGGAAGTGAATTCCAAAGAAAACAGCCCATCCAATTAAGCAGTGCAGAGTCCCTGGGTAGTGCAAATGGTTAATGCATCAGACTGCTAGGTGAAAAGTCAGAGGTTCGAGTCCACCCAGAGGTACCCTGGAACAAAGGCTTGGAGATCTACTTCTGAAAAATCACACATGGGGTTGCCCTGAGTGAGAGTCAACTCAACAACAACCGGTTTGTTCATTAATCAGTGCAGGCTGCCTTAGACAAGGCTTGTTGAACTCGGTCTCCACAGACAGGGCCTAGTGCCTACACAGCCTGGTAAGGAGCTACTTCAACAGGGTAGGGCAGCAAGATTTATGGAAAATCTGAGCCCAGAAAATCTGAGCCCAATTGGGCTCTAGTCATTGAAACACAGCTGAGAACAGTACACCTGACACCTGTAACCTCTCCCCAGGAGTGCATTCCTCAGCCCTCACTTAGAGCCCATTTACTTTTTTTTTTTTTTTTTAATTTTTATTGTGATTTGGGTGAAAGTTTACAGAGCAAATTCATTTTCCATACAGCAGCTCATATACACTTTGTCTCATGAACATTGACTGAAACTTCCCACAATGCAACATCTCTCCTCCCACTTCCTCCCCATAGCTACCTCTTCCCTGTGTCCTTTCCTTCCCTCCCATGCACTCCTGCTCACCACCCCCCATGTCTCCCTGTGCATACACAGCCCTTCTATTCTCCCATGATTGATCTCTCCAAGGAGAGCCAACTTACTCTTACGTTACACACAATCCTTACAAATGTAGATAAATCTCTTCCAGCCTCACCATAGATTGTTATTGTGGTTGTTAGCTGCTGTCAAGTTAGCCATCCCTGCCCCTGACTCATGGCAACCCCATGCACAACAGTAATCTTCTGCCATCTCCAAGATGGCTTGTGGATCAGACCATTGTGATCCATAGGGTTTTCAATGGCTGATTTTCAGAAGTAGATCACCAGGTCTTTCTTCCCAGTCTTAGTGTGGAAGCTCCTCTGAAACCTGTTCAGCATCATAGCAACACGTCAGCCTTCATTGACAGATGGGTGGCAGCACATGAAGTGCACTGGCTAAGAACTGAACCCTGGTCTCCCTCATGGAGGGTGGGAACTCTACCACTGAACCACCACCACAGATTAGACATGGCAAATCAGAAGAGAGGAAAACGATGTTCAGCTGAAAATACTGACAGCAGGAAGAAGTGACAGCCACCTGCTAGGTCAACAACAAGAGCAGAACGGTAACGGAAGTCTGAAAAGCAGGACCAGGAATCGAAGAAGCATAACCAGTTTGTGATATATACTTTGCCACAATAACAAAAAATAAATAAATAAGAAGTATCAGGCCTGGAATTGAACTCACTCCTGTGGCTTTCAGCCAAACAATAGACAGGCATATAGGCTGACATTTACACCAGGTAGGTACAGTCCATAGAATGATCAAAACCATAGGGGAACAGGATAGCAGTGTTTGCACAGGGAGATAGCTCAGGGGGCAGGAATGAATAGCAAAAAGGACACAGGGAAGAGGTCACCACAGGGAGGAAGAGAGCTGTTACATTGTGGGGATTGCAGTCAATGTTATGAAACAAAATGAGTATGAACTGCTGCATGGAAAATGAATTTGCTCTGTAAACTTTCACCCAAATCACAATAATTTTTTTTTTTTTAATGAAGTAAAGTCATAATTACTGACATGGGAAGATTTCCAAACTATATTAAGTGAAAACAAACAAACAAATAGAGTTTAAAAAGAAAAGCATGGCTAGCTAGACACATTTAAAACAAAGAAGACCAAAGCCCAATAAACCCCAACCAAACATCTCACTGTTCTCCCCACCACACCCGTGGCTCATGATGGCACCCCAGGATCACTAAGAGAAAAGTTCAATTATGGGCAGCAAAGTTGTTTACTTTCCAAAATGTGGGAACGGATTTTGTTGTTGTTGTTCCTATTTAATTTAAAAAGAATCTTAGAGATCATTTAGGATGAATAAACAAGACCCAGAGAGTGTGGCTTGTGTCAGAGGCAAGATAGAACCCAGGGACCTGGTTCGTGTCCAACCTCTGGAAGTCCTTGTGGGTAACATGCAGAGCAGCTGAAAGCCAACAGAAATGCAAAATATTTCATTCCCTAGAGAAACAACAACAACAACACAACAGAGAAAAAAAGTGGATGCCGATGGCACTACTATACTGCCCTCCCCAGGATGAGATGGGGATTTGGGATCCAAGCTACAAAATTCTTTCACCTTTTCTGGTCTGAAGCTTGAGTT